CATTCCCATCCCCACTCCATGCGTGATGACAAAACCAGGTCTTCAGTTTTTTTCTGAAGTCTAAGAGGGAGGGGCCCAACCTCACTTCTGTGGGAAGGCTGTTCCAAAGGGCAGGGGCTGCTGCAGAGAAGGCTCGCCTCCTGGACCCCGCCAGATGAAATTCTCTTGAAGACGGGGTCCGTTTTGCTTTCCCATCCCATCTATCATATCTATTACATAGTAAGCCTACAGGAAAGGATGACCTTGTTTTTAATCTTTGTACAGGGCCTAAAAAAACCTGTTGCTTTATAAACAGGCAACACACGTACATCATTTTTCCAAAAAAAGGTGACAGGAAATTGTGTCAACATAATCAAATTCAAATTGCTTGCAAGAGGAAATAATGGGCGCACACACCCAGCTGCAGTATTTTAAAAGATGCAGGTTTTTGTTGGAATGTGCTGCATTTAGTGCCATCTATGACTACTGGTTTCTAAACAGGTTATCAACCCAGTGGCAATGTCAGTGTCTTCAGAGTTCCTATTCATGCAGACCTTGCCACTGTTGTTATTCATTGATGTGATTATCAGAATTAGTTGGTCAACCTTATTTGATTCTTCTATTAATATGCCATGATTCCAACAGAAGAGAATATATATAGCTCATGGTTGAACTGTGGAGTCCTTGGTGCTCTTTGAGCTTGGGGTTGTTTGCTTGCAGATGTTTCATTACCAGACCAGTGCTAGTGAGTGTGGGGTGCGCTCCCTGTTTATATACAGTAGCTTGCCCTGTCAGTGTTGGTAGGGGTATGGTTTTTTCCTTGATAGTTCCTTGAGCAGGATATTGTTTTCTGCTTGATTGTTTGCTTGGTGGTAATCCCTGCTTATCTGGGTGTTGGCTGCTGGAGAGGATGTGTTCTGATGTTTCCTTCTTAGCTTTTTTATTGTCTCTTTTGAATGGTGTGTAAGTGTATTTTATCTCTACGTGTCTATCGATGTCTGATGTCTGAATGCCAAGCTTCCAGGAATTCCCGAGCATTTTTGGATTTAGCTTGGTCTACCATGCTGAGTTTCCCAATTGAAACTATGGTTGAGTCTGCCAATGTGTTGTGAGATTAAGTTTTCATTGTGTCTTCTGACTACTAGTTGGTATTCATGGATGTGCTCTGCTGTCTGTCTGCCCTACATAGAGGCTGTTACAGTCTTTACACTGTATATTGTAGATGACTCCTGTTTTTTCTTCTTGGGCTACAGGGTCTTTTGGTTTACTTAAGATGTTTTGGAGGACTTTAGTTGATTTGTGTGCCATGGTGATGCCATGTGGTTTTAATAGTCTGTTGGTTGTTTCTGAGATGTTTTTGATGTATGGCAGTGTTATCCTTTTTATAGCTTGTGTTGGTTGTGTTGTAGTGGGCTGGGTGTTGGCATTCATTTTGTTGGAAGATGTTGTATAGGTGGTCTGTTTCCTTTTCCTGGTGTTCTGGGTTGCTGCAGTGCATTTGTGCTCATCTGAATAATATTCTTATACAGCAACTCTTGTGAGAGGTTGGGTTGTTACTTTGGTAATGGAGCACCTGGTTAGTGTGGGTTGTTTTTCGATAGACTTGTGTTTCTAATTTTCATCTGCTGATGAGGCTATCCAGGAAGGGTAGTGTGTTGTTGCTTTCTTCTTCCCTTGTGAATTTTAGTCCTTTAAAGATTTTGTTGATTGGCTGGTGTGGGTCTTCCGGGCTGTGTGGCCGTGGTCTTGAAGTCTTGTTTCCTAAGTTTCGCCAGCACCTGTGACCGGCATCTTCAGAGTGCAGGAGCACAGACAGGAGCAGTTCTGGGCACAGAGAGAACTGTGGAAACGTTACGAAACGTTAGGAAACAAGACTTCAAGACCACGGCCATACAGCCCGGAAGACCCACACCAGCCATCGTATGCCAGCCGTGAAAGCCTTCGACAGTACATTTTGTTGATTGTTTCATGTATCTTCTCTAATTGTTCCTTTTTTATTATGATGAAGTTGTTGTCTACATCCTGGATCCATACTTTTGGTTGCATGTGTGGCAGTGCTATAGTTTCTACACACTGTAATGCTGTAAATGGGTTTTCCTCCACAAGAAAGGAATAAACTTTAAGCCCTGCCTTCTAAGTAGAGGAGGTGAGTTAACTTTGTGGCAGTGAAGATTAAGAGCAGCTAGATTTAGGAGGGGAGTTTAGATTTTGATAGGGATTTTATGTCTTGATTTTCTGCCCTTTAAAGCCCCTAAATCTAAAAAACAAAGTGAATAAAAAAAGCCAGAAAATTTGGCTCCAGACTCAACAGATTGTAAAATCATAGCAGCAACACCACTCTATGACAGAAGCTCTGCTAAGAATGACTGAAGGTAACTTTTTAATTTTAGAGCCATTTCTGTATAATAGTTGATGCTGTGTTTAAATGTAATAAATTCCACAACATGCTTATTCTATTGGATTCCAATTTCTTTAGAGAGCTATAATTTACTTCTATATTTCCAAAGGAAACTTGTGCCAATTATATTGAACAAAAGTCAATCTGAAAAGAGGGAAAAGAGTTCATCTGTTTTAGCAAACAATATACTGTACTGCAGCGATCCCAAAAAATCCAGGATGAGGAGACTCGAGTGAGGAAAAAGAGAACCAAAGAGAAGGAAAAGAGTTCCTTACAGGCTCTCGCAGAACTTCCTAAGAGTGCTTGGCTTTTCCTGGTTGCGTCTCTGTCGAAACCAACGCTGAATACTGCGCACATCCCAGTCTAGTTGCTTGGATAACCCTTCCAGCCTCTTCTCATCTGGGTGCTAACAAACAAAAATGAATCAAGAAGTTACTCTTTTGATGAGACTTCACCAAATGCCAGTTAGGACCCTACCCCAAAACTAAGCAATAAGTTTCAGATATGCATGAGATAAGGGGAATGTCCTTTGAAATGCCAGCTTGCTATCTAGACCAGATTTTCTCAACTTTGGCAACTTTAAGATATGTGGACTCCAACTCCCAGAATTCCCTAGCCAGCCATGCTGGCTGGGGAATTCTGGGAGTTGAAGTCCACATATCTTAAAGCTGCCATGGTTGAGAAACACTGGTCTAGAGTATAAAACAGTTTGTGCAAGTTAAATAGCTGCAGCCTTCATTTTCAGTTTGTACTGTTTTACGGTTTATATTACTATCAAACCTCTGCATATGATCTTGACAGAAGTATACAAAGAACCCTAATGCCTCCAGATTTGTGTCATTTGCATAAGAATGTAATCAAGCAAATGACATAATATACCACCATGGGCAATCATGCTGTTTTTACCATCTTTGATTTTATAATGTAAGCTGCCCAAAGCTGTCTGGAGTTGGGTGGTCTTTACATTTTAATAAAATAAAATAATTGGGAATAGTGGACACAATTACTCTGTTAAATCACGCTTTCAATTGAATGTTGATTTTGGTGCCTTATTTGCTCCATTTATAATAGAATATAACTCAACCCCTTTTCTGCCTTCTGTTTTCTGTGGCATTGTTCTCAGACACACTCATTTTCCATGAGGCCTGCTGGCTTGGAATTCTGGTACCTGTAAGCCAAATTATCAGGATAGCTCCAGGATGAGGACAGCTGCACATGCTGGTTTAGTTTTGCTTCACTCATGCATTGTACTTTTGTTTCTTTTCCTCAGAACAGATCCAAAACAATTTACAGGTAGTCCCTGGGTTAAGAATGCCCAATTTATGGACAACCCATAGTTAAGAACAGAGCCTATTGTAGCAAAATTTGAATTAAATACACAATGTTCGAGTTAAATACACAATGGTTCGAGTTCATTACACAATACTACTTATACAGTATTATA